ATCTTCTTCTGAGATTATCAAATTCTCTTTCTTGAAAGTGGATGTCAAGGTTTCCTTCTATTCCTACATTTTACAATCAATCGAAATTTGATTTGACTAAAATACAACCAATTAAAATTACATGAAAAGAAAAAATACTAGTACCAAAAGGTTAAAGTATTTATTATGTTGTGGTTAATTATCGCTTCAATCAATTCTTTGCCCTATTATTGTGAATATTTTAATTCATAAAATTATAGAATCTAGGCGAAAATTTCATGAGTTTTTGGAATTTCCTTTCATTATCATTGTATCATGTATCACGTATTCATATGATGTATCAAAGCGTTTAAAATGCAAAATATTAAATTTTAAATTATTGTTATTGTAAAAATAATAACAACGAAGTCGACAGACTTCACCAATTGTGCAACTGTTATAAATCATACAGATAAAGAACCGTACGTGCATCTGCAGAGAGGAGTATAACATATTTACTACGAAAAGCATCATTCGAAATTACAAAAAACAACAGAATGACTATGATTCTAAGCTCGCCAACTATGCAAATAAACGAAGTCTTGTCTGCGGAAAGTGGTAGAAAAATATTAACGCAATGCATAATAAATTAGAAACACAAGGAACAGTGACGCATTCAATAAACTAAACCATAATTCTATATAACCATAAAAGTAACAGCAACAATCAGTATACACGATTTTGAATTCACTCAAAAAAAATAATGCACAAACAGCCGAGCAAAATCAACCGCGCGCGTATATCTGCAGATAGTAGAATACTAGATGAAAGATGCGACCGCGGATGGCACACCCTGTGCAACAGACGCGATCGAGGGGTGGCTGGTGGAGAAAACGAGAAGGAAGAAGAGGAGTGTACTCAGATGGGTAGGGTAGGAAGGGAGAAGGTGTATAGTAGCAGTAGAGCGGGGGAGTGGGAAGCATCGCGGGTAAAAGGAGGGTGGGACGACAGTGGCGAGAGATGTTGGCACGTCACGTCAAGGGCTAAAAGTCCGCGAAACAATATCCAACCACCGACCCATCCCTAGCCGGTGCGCTACATCTCTCTTCCCTTTTCTCTTGCTGCCGCTTCTTCTGTTCCGTATTAGTTATCGTTTATCAGGCCGGCCAGACAAAACGCGCCGTCGGGAATTGGGTGAGCCATCTGTTGCCAGACATGATCGATAAAAGTCCGCCAAGTGCTATCAGTGCTAAACTGCTATTTCGACGAGCTGCCGCACGTTTCACCCTTCCGTTCCGTCTCCTCCCCCCCCAGTCTCTCGCAGCCCTCCACCCTGTGCGCAGCAGTGTCTCTCGTTTCCCTCCTCCCACTTCGTGCCCCTTTTGTCGAACGTTTCCGCGAATTTCTTTCCGCCGCTTCTTCTCTCCGGTTATTTCGGAGGAAATCCCTCCCCCGCAACATCTGTCCAGAGATTGGGGGGGGGGGGTGAGGGGAGGGAGAGGTGGCAGAGCCGATCGCGGAAGTGTATACGCAATAAATTGAATCCGGCCTGCAAATTGCTCGTTACGCGTTGCTTGGGTCGATTAGGCTTTTTGCAGACCGGGAGAAATGGGATCCGGCGTTTTTTGCCAGCGTTCTGTACCCGCTTTGCGCGAGATGATGGCGGCGCGTACGTTCTCGTTGTTAGATGGGTTAGAGGGGTCGGTAGTAATGTGTCGAGAGTGTTTCTTGATTTTCGATCAATGCCGGTTTGGGCAGATTGAGTCACTTCCGCGAGGAGTACATTGAATTAGGTACGCAACGTTTCATTTGCAATTTTTATTATTGAATTTCTCTCGTTTTTCTTTACTAAAATGTAGAGGAAATGGGCGTGCAAGGATTAATATTTCGTTTCATCGTCGTAGCTTCCGCTTGGATTCCATAATTTTGTGAAATTTAATGAAATTGTATAATTTATCGAAGCAGTAATTTATGCAACATTATAATGGGTAGTTTGTTAAATATTTAATATCATAATAAACTATACGTATTACATGTTACAATAAACAGTATCACAAATCAAATTTAAATTTAATAATATTATAGAGCCTAGGCGGAACGAATAGTGACAAACAACGAATTTTCGACATTCATTTGTGGAAACAGAGTTAAGAAAGATGATTTCATAATTTGCTCGACAATCCAGATGAATAAATTGAATTTGCAACATTACCACATCAATGAAAGAAAGGCTGAATATTCATAAATAACGAGAAAGGTTATCCATTATCATCTAATTGCGACGTTTTTGAAAATTTTTCCCTTTCCAGTGAAAAAAGCGAGATGAGGAGATTTTTAACGCTCTTAAATAGATCTGCAGTCAGCCTAAAGAAATTCTGTCTCAAAATTTACTTCCGGTTAAACAAAAGGGGAGAATTGGCTTGCTTACGTTTGTATTTTCGTAATTTCCGGCTTTATTACTTGAGATTTGTAATAACTTTAGGAAACAATATCGAAAGAGTACGGCGGAAGCGACGAAACTTCCCATTTTCGCCTTTTCCAATTTCTGGTGTGTCAATTTTGCAACACATGGCCCTTGCGTTATCGCGATGGAAGATTGCAGTTCCTTTCCGTTTTTTCCCCCCTTCCTTTCTACGCCGGAACATCGGGCGAAAGTCTTCATTAAATCTAGTTTAATAAAATTGCTAATAATAGGCTTAACATCTCGCAAAGTCATTCTGCTAGAAACATTTTTATTAAAAGTTTAAGAGATAAATGGTAAATATATTTCAATATAGATACGATAAAAATTATAATATTTAGCTTTACGAATTTATGAATGCACGTAATATGCAAAGGTATACTTTCTAAAATATTCCACGAACAAAATTATTTCTTATTTTCATCCCATTCGTTTGATTTTATTTATAAAAGTATAATTCTACTGCGTAAATATCCGCAGTCTAACCATTGATATCAGTCCGTCTTATGATTCACTGATATATTTCTTCAATTAAATACACAAACTCGATCGACATTCCACGAGTCGAATGATTTTTAAAATTCTCCTATTACCAGAAACTCGTATCATCTCGGATTTGAACAACACGAGAACGAATCTAAAATTCTGACTTCCCAACGAGACAAATTTCCACGGAACAACGATTCGTTCGAATTGGTGAGAATATTAAACAGACCTCTGTCTCCTCTTAATAATAATAATAATAACTGCCCTCTCTGTCTTTCATACCTTAAAATTCTAAATAATATATAAACACGGGCCGTTTCTTTTATATATTGTTCAATTCTATCGTTTATCACGCTGTGCTGTCTATTAATTTTAAATACTAATATAATTTTAGAAATTAATTACAAATTAATTTTTCTACACCGCGAGCCTTGCAATGTTAATCCAACGACGAACGCGTTTTAAATTTTAAACCCCTTCCCGTTTAAAAATTAAAACAGACGTCGAAACGTCGCCGTCGACGAGAACGAAAACGCTCCGACAACGACGGTCCGGAAATCGTAAAGAAATTTTAATATAGCAAGTTACACGGTTTCGCCGTGGGAGGGGGAATTAAAAAAACTAAAGTATTTTTATGAAACCGCAGCACAAATTTAATATCGCCTGTAAGCAGTTGCACGGAGATGCCCGGTTAGGAGATTAGTGTTAGTAGTGTACATGTCGATACATGTATAAATTGAATCCACTATAGGAATTCCTCGTCAAAGAGAGGAATTCTTGCTTCCTCTTTTTCCGCCAATACCGCCTCCTATGTACTGTGACGTCGAGCGTGAAAACGCTCCACTCCCCTGCTTTTCTATCAGCGGAGTTATGCATGCACAGTAAAAAAAAAAAAGAAAGAAAAAGAGAAAAAAAAAGGAAGAATGCACAGTGTCTGATGTCACTTAAATTGTCCTGCTAACTGCGAGTGTGTCGTTTAGCCCGATACGTGTCGTGCAGCCAATTTTTTGATGCGGCGAAAGTGTGAAAATATTAGTTGGGAAACATTATTTTCGCGTTGCATGTTGCATTAACGCGCGCGTGTACGTAACTTTATACGAAATTATGGCTACGTGAAGTTTCTCGCCCAAGTGGCGAAAGTTAATTACACATACGTTTTAAGAGATTTCATGGATTGAATCTGAATGTTATTTTAAATTGCGTATACTTTGTAGTATATTCGACTATGTACACTTTGTGTATAACGTAATTATAGTCATATATCATGATTTAAAAGGCAGATGCAACTTCAGTTTGAGTTTCGTTCGGACTACATATACCTTATAACATTGTAATTACGTACAGTTTGCGCGTAATGTATATTTTAATTTAAAAGACAGAATATTGAAATTAAACAATTGTTTTAATTTGAATACTATTTCTTTTAAATTACATATATTTTATAATATTATAATGAAGAAAGAAATAATTTCTACTACGATACGAAAATTGTAGTACTTGTTACACAAAACATTGCTTCTCTTTTATTTTATTACTATTGCTTTTGCATTATATTACTTATAAAATGTATGCGTAAATTTTATGCACATATTCTATATATTTATATCAATATTATACAAAGTTACGTGCATACGCGTACTAGCATAATATCGTCAAGCTTTTTCATTAGACGTCTCAAACGCGTAACGCGATGTCTGACCAAATAGCGTCCTATTCTACTGACTACTGATGAAACGCTACGTTACAATCTTTCCAATAAAAGATACACAGTTGCACCACAACAATACAAACTATAACAATATAACGAATACCATAGTGAACTGTCAGAAAATCAAATTAGATTTCTAAATTTTCCGTTTTTTACATAAAATCCCAAAATTTCTCAACTAACACATTCTTTCTCTTCTTTACGAATAAACAGCTTCCGACAAAGAGCCAAATATATACAAAATTTGAAGATTTAGAAAATACAAAAATTTTGTACACGTTTACCTTATTAATTCAAAGATATTATATATTATATTATTAACAGTTAATAAAAAATTATATATATTATTAATTTAAATTCAAGGCAATATCATCGTCTTTGTTTCAGACATGGATCTACCGAAACACTCGAAGAAGCCAGGAGACCGAAGAGGGGACGACGACACGAACGAGGCAATCAACGATCGAGATCATAGACTGAATCACGTGTATCAAGGCTCTTTACGGGAAACAGGCTCCACTTTGGAACCATTCTTCGACGGTGACGACGTATCATCCTCGACGTCCTCGAACGACGTTCTACCACCCGCCTCTTGTATTCTTCTCATAACATTTTCCCACCTGCTCGCTTTAACGTAAAAAAAAAACAAAGAAAAAAAAAAGAAAAAAAATATTCAAAAAGAAAAAGCACACGTGAACAGCACAAAGAACGAAGAGTAATGCATTTACTTCGACGACGACGATCAAGCGTTACTTTTATTTCTGGGCTACGATTATTCTTGTCGACAGAGGAGGAACAAATTCGTACAAATTCAAGATTAGTTGCAAGTTCACGTTAATATCTATGACATCGTTGCGTTCGTTCAATCCCTCCATCGATGATACTCTACTGGATCTAGCTGAATTTAGTGTCGAAAGAAAATTGTTTCTGTTTGCAGAGTTTGGTGAGTAACGACACACACGGATTTCTGTCGTTTGTTACACATTTTCATATCATTCATTTACTATTATCTTGTCAATTTCGTTTAATATTTTGAATATTAGGTATATCTATTTATTTAGGGTTGTTTAAGAATTATTTTAATTTTAGGTTCTATTTACTTTTAGTCATTTTTATTTATTCACTTGTCATTTGACGTTTGATTCTACTTTACATGATACGAGATGAAGGGGGGAATTCAAATAACAACAAAAACAAATTTTGATTATGTAAAATAGAATCAAACGTCAAATGATAAATATCCTTCGATATACGTATATATGTCTCGAGGAAAATATTTCGTTGCAACTTCTTCTATACAACTTACACGAATTTTGATATATCTCACTTGGCGCGGATTTGAATTTTTCTACAACTTTTCGCCTAGTTTGAAAGTACTAAGCATCGCGTAACGTAAAAGCGAGCTTAGCTGAATTAGAGGAATTTTATACGAAACACTTCGTGATCTGCGCTGTCGAATGTCTATCGCGAGCCTCGTGTGTAAATTTTACCGAAAAATTCGGGAATTCATCACGCTGAACCAAAATACACGTCGTAAAATTCTGAACGTGAACAAGTAATTATTTACTCGAGTATTTTTGTTTGGCACTTTGACTTTGAAACGCTCATAACTTTTCTCGATTGAAACGGGACAAACTCGCGAAACAAGTAATAAAAAAAAAAAAAAATTGACAATTAACGTCCATGGTTTATCTAGAACAATTCGCAACACCATGCTCCATCGGATGTCTGTATACGTTTTATTTATTACGAAATTTTCAACTATCACATTCCCATCTAAATATTGACCTTCCGTATTTATCTTTATATTCGTCCAGTTTCATTTTTTTTTTTTTTTTACGAAAAAAAAAATAGCTGAATTGAACAACAAATTATCTACAAACGTTTGAATAATGAAATTTTATTGACAAACGATCCGGCGTAGAATTTATCTTCGAAACATTCGCCAAAATTTATTTAATAAAAGTTTGCTTTATTGAAAAACTTTTCAGTAGAGAATTGATCGTCGAAATATTTACGAAAAATCTGCTTGTCGTTTCACGAGTGAATAGTCTCGCTATATTGAATTTTGGTGTTTTTCTCTTTCATTTTTGTTTTCGGTTTTTGTTTTTAATTAACGCGTTTTAACAAGCAACAGCCAAGTAATCGCTTAGATAAATTTAAATTCGTTTCGTCGCCGTGGCAGGCATTTTTATCTCTCCAATTAAGAAGACACGTCTCGTTAGAGCAATTTCGCCATCCACCTGTTACTCTGTAATCTACTTGACCTATGTGTAAGTCCACACTTTAATGTAGCACCACTTGCACGATCTTTCAACAAAAGAACCAGACCGGAGAAGTATCTCAAAGTGGTTTTAAAAATACGCGCCAATGTGTCAAGTAATGAAATAGAGTAAATGACTATAAAAACCGTGGCGCTCGAAGAAAGAGAGGAAACACAGCACTCTTGGCCTACTAAATGATCTTTTTTTTTATTAATTTGCGCATAGTTCCAAACGAATTGTTGCTTTTGCCAAAGAACATCGACAAAAGTGGATAAATTGATCATTTTTAACGATTTTAAATAAATATAACTTTGGTGGCAGAATAATTTTTTAATTGAACATTTTCAAAAGTAAATGATACGAACGAGCGAAATACAAATGCATGTACGATGAGGATAAAAATATTTTCAAACAATACGGCAACCATACGGTAGAATAATTTTTGATACGTTGTTTCTGTTAATGGATTTAATTTTCAAAAAACGAACAAATTGATAATCGCAATGTTTTTAAATGATACTACACTGAAAATAGTAATTCTTTAATACGTTGCCTCTGCTAATGGACATTTTCAAAAGCGGACAGGTTGATGATTGCAATGTTTTTAAATAATACAACCATGGCGGACACAACAATTTCTAATTTTATCACTAGTACAAAACTCGCATAAAAATTGACGTTACAATTTTTACGTTACAATTGGCGAATAGGAGATTAAAAATATATACAAAGTGGCTACAAAGAAATATCTTTCAATGAAAAATTTTTCTATCAGGTCCTACATTTGATGCCATCGTTGTACCAAATTTTCTTCGAAACGGTATGAAATTTAATACATTCCCAATACGTAAATATTACAATAAACACGATAGTGTGCGAATATTTATCGTGACCACTCTAGTAACTTTTATTTAGGAAAAAAAAACAGATTTAAAATTTCAATAATCAAACTCGAACAATCTTGTCGATTCGCGGATAATCAAATTCATAAATTAAAAATAACTAAATTATTGAAAATTTAGATTATTATAATTTCCAATGGTTAATCAACTAAAAAATGTAACGAGTATCGAAACGTAACGTCAAGATGAGAAACCTCGAATCCACAGGAACATTTTTACGTTACAATTGGCGAATAGGAGATTAAAAATATATACAAAGTGGCTACAAAGAAATATCAATGAAAAATTGAACGATATGAAATTTAATACATTCCCAGTACGTAAATATTACAATAAACACGATAGTGTTCGAATATTTTTATATATATTTAATTTAAATTAAATCGTGACCACTCTGGTAACTTTTTTTAGAAAAAAAAAAAAAAAACAGAATTAAAATTCCAATAATCAAACTCGAACAATCTCGTCGATTCGCGGATGAGATCCAATTCATAAATTTAAAATTCCGAATTGTTATAATTTCCAATGGTTAACCAACTGAAAACAACGCAACGGTTGATGAGAAACCAACTCGAGTCCAAAAGGAAAGGTAAAAACTGCCCTAGTTTCTCGATCTTGCTAAAGGTTGTCCACAAATTAACCAGCCCCTTTCAAATACCAAATAATCGTCAAGAGAAAGAGGGTAATCGTTCCAACCGAACGATCCGTCGAGCGAATCGAATTCCCGGCCGCGTTCACCAGCAGCAGCAAATAAAGAAGAATGGTCGACCAGTCGATTCCTTGTTTATTCGGGCCGCGAAACGAAGCGAGGAGCGGGAAACCTTTTTATTCGTAACGCGATAAACTTGGATCACTTGGGTTTGCGCGTCGACCGCAGGGCTTGCAGTATCTTCGTATCGGGTCGAGCAGGCCAACGTGAAATTAATATTCTAACGAATATCGGTGAAAACGTAACGGCGAAACGAAGATCTCGTCGTCGTTGTCGCGGATCTCGTCATGTCGAACAGCTCGCTCCAGCTCGCGCGATTGTCCGTTCTAGGCTTAACGAGATATCTCGTTAGCACTGCACGTTCCTCGCAGAGCGATCTCTCTCTCTCTCTCTCTCTTTGTCTCTGTCTCTCTTCGACGAGAGAGCGGCCCGTCGAATTGTCCGATCCGTTGCAATGATAGAATTATTAAATCCCGGACTCGCGGCCGTTTTTCTTTTTTCCCTTTCCCGTCTCTATCTCTCTCTCTCTCTCTCTCTCTCTCTCTTTCTCTTTCTTTCTCGTCGTGTCTACTCTCGTTTCAGCCTGTTTTCCTCTTACTCATTTTCCATATCGTGCACCATACGTTTCACCGATTTCCCGACGAGAATTCGAGCACCGATCCGACACGCGTTATCACGATCGTTGACGTCGCGCGACCGAGATAAACAGACGAGAAACGTGCGAAATCGAATCGTTGCACGACAAAGTCTACTGTTTTGTGAGCCACTATAAATATATAAATTGGAATTATAATTGAAATATATATTTCAATATATATATATATATAATGTGCAACGCAGAAATTGATAAATCTCTTTTTCTTTTTTTTATATGAGGGTTTAGAGTCGCATCGACTACGAAGTCTTTAGCGACGTGTTGGAATTATCTCTTTATAACTGGTCTAGTAGTTGGGTCTCCTTTAGGTAATTGATAACTGGCAGATTAGAACGGTGTTTTGGTTTAATCCGTATCTACTTCTTATGTTTCGATATTTTCTGCATTTATATAGCAGATATTGGGTGGTGATTTGTTGGTCGCAGGTGTTGCAGAAAGGTGATTCTAGTTTGCTTTGGAAGTATTCCTGTGTGATCTTAGAGTGTCCGACTCGAAAATCTCTTTTTTAATTTGTCTCAGTGTCGATACTTCTCTGCGACGAATGCAAATGGAAATTTGTTTCTTTGAAAATTATACTCCAGAAAATTAATAGACTCGATTTGATAACCAAATAATTTGTTTTTGATAACTTGACGTCTTTAGCCCAATTAAAGGTTCTTTTAAAAATGTCCAAGGTAATTTATTTTAGCATCTTTGAAAATTTTCAAACGTATCATTCGTGTAAAGTCGTAATTGATTATGTAGAGAACGTTGAATAAATCTGCTTTCAAATGTGGCTTCATTGTATACGTAGTATATTTATAATGACGTTTCCAATTTCGTGGATTTTGATTCTTTTGGTCAGAGTAGCCTCAAGCAGCCTCGAAGCTCTGTCAATTTTCTCCTTTCTTATTTCATAGGAAAATCAAGCACTCTGACAGTTCTTGATAACTGGTCATTTTGCTTGATAGAATTTTTAATCTTACAATCTCTTTGACACTGCGTCGAAAAATATCGTTAAACCTGCACCGAGAATTTTCAAGTGGACAATTTCATAAATTTGGCTCGTCTTTTAACTTAACGCGCCAATTTTATTTCACGTAAATATTTCGTACGAGATCGAATATTTTGTAGCCGATGCGTGGAGAATGTTTAATAAAATTTATTTTTCGACAGCTTTTGATAATTGATCATTTCGTTTAACGGTTTTTTCTTTCTTTTTTTTTTTTTTTTTTTAAAAAAAATTTTTATTTTT